GGGGGGGGGGGGGGGCTGCGGGGGCTGTGCCGGACTCCTCCTGGGGGTGCAGGCTCCCTATCTGCCTCTCGGATCACAGGAGGCTGGTGCTGCCGTCTGGGGCCAGCAGCAGCACTGATCTTCCCGGTGCTGGGTGCGGAATAGCCTATGGGTGAAACGTCGAAATAGTGTCGAAAGAGTTTTGATGAAATGAAACAAAACTCAAAATGAAACACTGTTCCATTGAAACAGAAGTCAAGGTGGAATGGTACTGTTTTGCACAGCCCTAATATGAATGAGGTTAATAGCAGAACAGGATATCAATAATCTAATTGCCAAAGGCAGGTATCAATGAACTAAAGCACTCTGTACAAATTGAATCAAAGACACCCACAGTACAACTCCCCAGCTTAAACCTTGAGACTCCAGTGAATTTTAGCAGGAGCCCGCAAGGTTAACGCAAACGTCAGCTCTCCTACATACTGGCAGCGCAATACCCAGGCTGGTGCTGCTGCTTCAGAAAGTCCTGCTCGCCGCTAGAGCCTGCTCTCCTCTGCTCCAGCTGTCTGTGGTATCTGCAAAGAAACACACACTGCCCCCCCTCCCCAAAAGCACCTTTCTCCAGTTCCCAGACAAGGCCCCTTGTGCTGAAACTGAAACAACCCTGGGTTTATCACCCACTCAGCGGCCCCAGGCTTTCCCCAGAGCCCTCCCATACCAACACCCTGCCCTCCTAGCCAAGTCTACCTTACCACCCTTTTCTCTCCACATGGGTCCCTTTGCCTCACAGAGGGAAAAAAGATACCAGGTTATCTTCTCCCCATCACTAAGGGGAGGTGGCAGGCTGCAGGGTGGTTCTTCCCCAAGCTTTGTGGTCCCGGGGCCCCTTCCCTTCTCTGAGCCTGGCTGAGTTGCCTCCTCTCTCCTGCCTCAGGAGCCAATCAAAAACGTGCATATGCTCTTGCAAGCAACAACTTTCTGCAAACTTTCCCACTCTGCCTTTGCAGGTATCCCTATACTCCTCCAAACCTTTGCTGGTGGCCTCCCATAGGTTTTCTAGGACCTAAACTTTCATTAAAAATATGTGCAGTTTTTGCTGTTCCAAATAAAGCTTTCTATAAGTGCCTCAAATCCCTGCCAATTTTCTCAGTAGAAATTCCATCTAAACTGGTATGCGCTCTGTCTGTCTGCCTGCCCCCCCCATACACATGCCTGTTCCAGTTTATAGACTGATATCGCCAGGTGAGTGGAGGGGCCATGGGGTTGCAGCGTTGCTTGGTCCTATGGAAAGCACTGGTGGCAGCAAGACAAGGTGGGGCTGCGCAGCTGTGCCCTGCAGCTGGTGCTGGGCTGCCTGCTGCCAGTGCTCTGGTGGCCTCTGGCAGCAGGGGGAGCTGGAGCAGTAGCAGCATCAGTGGCGTTTCCCCTTTGCGTGGGGCCGCCATCTTTACAGCCACCTTTTGCAGACCTCCTAGATGTGCTCTGCAGATCCCTAAGGGTCCACGGACCACCACCTGAAAAATCACTGCTCTAGCTGAAACGATTTGTTGGAAGGTTACCATGAATATTGTTTAGCTGCACGATGCTTGGAAAGTCCTTCCTTAGGAAGGTTGGCCTGAGTATGCACCTGCCGCATTTCGCTACTTCTGTTATATCTTTGAGCCGCATCATTATTTCTGCTGTGGATTCCTACAGCCCATTACACTTCACAAGATTGTCCCAGTAAACCTTCTACTGCATAGACCGTTTAGATGCAATATCTTCCCTTCCTAAAAACATTTTTAAAAGCAAGACATTGGTCACAGAACTGTTTTGCTGGAAGAATTTAATAAAACACAGGTGACTGTCATTGCAGTGAATTGTTATTCATACCTAAATGAATGCTTGCAATAACCTTTTCTCAGGCTTTCCCCAGTAGTAACTGGTATTGATGAAAACCTTGGGAGGTAACAGAACCCCAAGTATTATGGTAATTACTCTTGTGTGTGTTTATATTCAATTTGCCTTGTGTACTCGTTAGTTTCATCTCCCTACTGAAGTCTCTGGAAGTAAATTGTAGGTGGTGGAGGGAAATGATGGTTTACCACGCTTGGAATGATCACATTTTACAACACTTCACAGCAGTGCTCTTTTGAGACAGCTGTTATTTGTTGCTCTTGCTTGTATATAATAAGAGCCTCTCTTCCTAGGTATTAAGGTAATTGGTGGCATAAAGGAGCTCACAGGAGAAGAATATGGAGTTTATGTAAAGAGGATCCTACCAGGGGGTGTTGCTTATGTTGATGGTGAGTTAAACAGGGAAAGAAATCCAGTAAATATTCAAAGCTCTATGTAACTAGTGTATTATCCTTATTGATCCTGATTTGACACTTCCTCATATACAGGCAGTCCTCAGACTTACAACATGATTGGTTCCTGAAAATGCCATCTTAAGTCAAAATATAACTCGGAACCAATTTTCTCACAAGAAACAATGTTATAAATGGGGGATTGGTTCCTGAACCAAGGCCCGATACCCTATTTTCACCAAAAATACCCCATAATTTTGTACTTGATCAATTATAGATGAATAATATAGCTACATTAAAATGTATTTATATTGTAAATAGCAATCGTATTGATTTGGAAGGACTTCTTTGAGGTGACTTAGCTGGACTTTGAAGGGCTCTTGGTTGGACCTTTTGGTTGGTCTTGGCTGGAGAGTCTTCTCAGGAGTCTTGGCTGTAGGTTTTTCTGGAGTCTTGTCTGCTTTCTTAAAGACGTGTCCAAGGAAGTTTGGACAGATGTTCTCCAGGGAGATGGGTGACACAGTGAACTTGCTCGCTGGCGTGGCGTTACATCGGATCAAGTCGAAACTGATGTCAGAAAGTTGAAACAGGGCATCAATCTATAAACATTGTAAGTGCAAAATGTTGTAACTCAAAATGTTGTAAGTCAAGGACTGCCTGTACTCACTTCTAGATATTTGTACAGATATTTTACTGTGGTAATTAATGTTGAATTTCAAGCCTTCTCTCCTGTGTCTAAGATGTTTAAGTGATTGTTTCATGCTTGCAGTACTGAGACTTATACATGTCAGCCCATAGACTCTCTCCATTGTTGGATCCTTATCCACTGATGATTCTTGGTACCATTAGTTGTGTGCAGATAAGTGGAGATCCTGTTTCCTTTTCAACTCAGTCCTCATTCAGGCAAACTTTCACTGATTTTTTGTTAGCGTGCTTTTTCAAGCATAAATGTGTCACTTGGTCATCTACCAAATGTATCTAACAAAACAACCTATTCCAATTGTGTGAGAGAGAGTCTTTTCAGGTATAGGTGCAGTTCCAGGTTAAGGAAAAAGAAAGAACCCCCCACCACTACATTTTCTCATATGCATTTGCATTTCATAGTTACTCAAACCACAGCACAAGAAGTACAAGTATTAAACATCCATGTTGTGACTTCTGGTTCATTTTTTTAGGACGCCTGCTACCAGGGGACCAGATCCTGGAGGTCAATGGCGAGTCTCTGATTGGGGTTACCAGTGAGAGGTACTGTTGCCAAGCAGGGACTCTGCAGGCATTGCAGTTGTATGTGAATCTGCATGGTGGGCTGGTATGTGGCTTGCCTGAAAGATCTTGCATGTTGTGTGCATACACAAAGGGCTGCTGCTTTCAGTGCCATTCATCTAACAGTCTAGGCAAGGATCAGACTCCCTATACAATAATTCAAAGGTGAAGAGATGTGAAGGCCCCAGTCTGCATTAGAACTGACTTTCATCATCATTCAAAGCACAAACTGAACCTGTCCCCAAGCGTCTTCTGAGGTCGGCAAAAGTAGAGGTCACTAGAATCTTTCATTTCTTCAGCCTCTGTGCACCAACAGTGTGGTGGGCACTGTACAAATGCAGCTGCCAACACCAAAAGTACTTTATACCTCCTTTCTGTCTCCTGGGTCTGGGCAGCTCCATAGGCCTCAACGATCCTGAGCCATCATGATCACACAGAGTCCCCCAGAGCAGTGATTCTCCTGCTTCCAAACCACAGGCTCCTACTGACTATCCATAAGTGTTCTGTAGAAAGTACAGGGTGTGTGTCGCACAGGTGAGCTCCCTGTGTCTAGCCACTAGAGAACAGAGACTGTGCAATGGCTGCTTGACTGTGATTGTGTAGGCACTGTGCATGTCTGGGAAGGAGCATTTAGGAGACTGGAAGTCAGGGAGGATGTATTTGCTTCCTGCACGTCCTGTTACCTGTTCAGGGACCCCAGCTACTGCAGTGGTGAGGAGCAGCAGGCTGTGACTTACCTTCCCTCCAGCCCTGCTGCCAGAGAGAGAAGTCATGGCCACCTGAAGATGTTCAGTCCCCTTGAGGGTCTTCTCCACCTCCCAAAAATGAAGCGGTCATTCATGTGGCTGCTGTTGAGGTTTCCCTGGCCCACTGCTGAGTTTGGCACAGACTTTGATATACTGATGTGTAGTCCAGTATTATTCACTCTTTGTTGCACATGAGAGCTCATTCTTTTTCCTGCCTTCTTGCAGAGCTGTGGATATTCTCAGAACAGCCTCCGCCACCAGCCATATGCGCCTTCTCATAGCCCGAGATGACGATGCCAGGTAAGAGTGCATTGAACTCTTCCCACAGAAGAATACACTTGCACTAAACTATATATTCCTATGAATGAGTAGAGCTGGGCTAGAAGGGTTAAAGCAGAGTGCAAGCATTCCCCTGGACTGATGCTGAAAGCTGCCCCCAGTCAAGCCAGCTATGCATGAGTCATGGAAGCTGGAGAATCAGAAGCAGCCACACGGTACTAGCCACAGATGTGTCACAGAAACTGGTGTGTCTTACCAGCCTGGGGAGCAGCTAGACTCTGACAGACTTTGACTTTGATGTGCAAACAGGAATAGTTAAGTTGTATCCTTTTTCTAGCCAGGCTTGTACTAAAGACTACATACCTCTCTAAGGAAACAAAGGGAAAAAAATCATTGGTCTCTTTCTGCTCCCAGCCCATCTTCCCCATGCCAACCATGGAGCAGCAATGACAGTTTGCAAACATAAACCCAAATTTGGTAAGGAAAAGGGCCAAAACCAAAACCAAAGCTAATCCCCAAAGTGATTTTTTTTTAAAAGTGGTAGAAGCCACTGTCTTTTAGGTCCTGACCTGCCCCAACCCAGGTAACATAAGCAGTGCAGTAGGTTCATGAAGGAAACTCCAGCCCATGAGCCATTAGGCTTCTCTACAGTGGCTCTTGTACCCTGCTTTTAAAGTAGTTAGAGGGACCTTGGCCCCTTCTCAGCAGGACTGGCCTGTGAATCTGTGTAGTAGCATCCTCATTCCTCTCCCAAGGCTCCACCCAGTCCCTTCCCACCTACTCCTGTAAGCTTGTCTCACCTACCCAGACCAAAGATTATGTAGCAGAAGCCCTTCCAGCTGCTACTGAGCTTCTCACACTTTTTGCTCCGTAGGGCAGTGACCCTATGCTGGTGTAGGCAGGTTCAGTGCTTGATCCTTGACATTCTAGTCTCTTTCCTCTGAGAAGAAGGAAGCCCAGAAGAATCAGGGGTTGTTTCCACAGTAACTATGTTTGTTTCTCGGCCAGTGCCCCAGGAGGCAGGTTATCTGCCATAACCCATGTGTATCTGCTCCAAGCTGTCCAGGCATTGCAACACACTTCCAACATCATAATTTATAGCAGATGTTTCCAAAAATATGTGTGCATGGCTTTATCAGAGGCTATAGCTGTTTCATGCATCTGTCAACTGTGCCTCCAATAGATTGCTGTAAATGGGTAGGATGCAAACACTGAGAGCAGCCAAACTTTGAACATTTTATTTGGTCTTGGTTTGCTGTTGGTTGTCTGTTAAATCTGCCAAAGGTTATCCAGAGGGAGAGTTCAGCACTAATCAGTTTTTTTTTAAAGATTTGCAGAGATTTTGCTTTCATAATCATCTCACAAAATGTTTAATACATGAATACATATCTCCAAGATTAAGGGGAATGGAAGAGAGGGAAGGGTTTTCAGCTTGCTGTTTTTTCTTTTTCTTTTTTGATCCCATATTATCTTTTAGCACTGTCCTTGAGCTTGGGGGAGTAATTGACTGTCTACCCACATTGCTGTCACAATGCTTGCTGACACTGATGCAGTCGAGGCTAGTGGCATGTTCGGTTTTTTTGTCCTGCTTTGGATCAGCTGCGCTGTTCTAAGAACAGCTCAACCAATCATTGGAAAACATATAGAGCCTGATTTTATGCTGCAGCATAAAGGGGCCTTTATGTAAACAAGGATCAGGCCTGAGATTTTTTATAGCACCCTGAACACCAGGGTCCCAATAAAATTGATGCTGAGATCAGAGCCATGTGACTCATAAGTGAATGTAGGCAAGAATGGCACATCTGTGAGAGTCTTCTATTGAGTCAAATGAGTATTCATTAATGCAAGCAAGGACAAATAGGATGTTGCGTGGGGCAGTTTATACTGCTACTACAAGGCAGGAAAGTTTTGAGTATTCAAGACAATTATTTTCTCTGTTTCTGATTTCTCCAGTTATACCAGCAACAGAGGCAATAGCCATGGCTGTGCAAGATCCTTAACATCACAAGTGAAGAAGCACAGGCTTTGGGAGAGAAAGGAATTGCATCACATGTTTAGCAAAGCAGTGTGGACAAAGAATAATCGGCATGGACATATTAATTTACTCCAGTGTAAGCTTGTGGGATCAGAGTCTGAGCGCAGAGGCATTAAAGCCAATGAAATTACACTAGGGAGGACTGCAGCTTAGTCTGTCTCTTTGCAAGCTTAGTACTGCAGCTGTGCACATATGGGAGGTTTTCTGCACAAACCTGTCACCGGACGTCTGATAACTTAAGACTGTATTCTTATAGCCCATCAGTAGACCAGAGAGATGCTGCAGGTGGGCCATGAGGGCAGGTACATGAAAGGATCACAGGAGGGTTGTACTCTCCCTTTGAATGCTCTGATGGCACCAGGAAGCATTGTATTGAGAGATTACACTGCCCACACATCCACCTCCTGAGCAGGAAGCAGTATAGCTGCCTTAGTGCCAGTCAGCAGAGCTGTAGCCCACCCGCTACCCTGCATTAAGGTATGCAGCATTGACTGCACTTCTTTCAGTTCAGTGTGTTCAGAACTCTGCACAGCACTGCCTTGTGCCATCCTAATGCTTCTGTAAGGTGGTAACCCCACACAGCTTCCATTGCCAGTTCAAGTGAACTCGAGAGGATCAAAAAAGTTGAGAACCTCAGGCACAAAATACCTGTTTTGGTAAAGAGGATGGTTCTGATTTTTGAAGGCACAATAAATTAGGCCTCCAGTGCTCCAGATATAAATGATAGAATTGATTGAGCCTTATTTGTGAGTGTCACCAGAGAAGTAGGGCCCATGGCTACTGTCAGTTTTTCATGCTGTTAGCTGTGGCTGCAGAATTGCCTAGGCAGTAGAAGAGGCTGTTACGAAATGCAGGCCTGGCCTTGTAAAATTCTCCCTTTCAGGTCTTCAAGTCTGAGAGAGTACACAGAAGTGTTTTAGTATTGAAGCCAGAGCATTCGGGTTGAGCTCTGAACCGTGCCAATGCTTAAAGAAAGGGGTTGGTAACCTATGGCTCATGGTCCAGATCATATCTGCAGAACCTTTGTATCCGGCCCAAAGAGCCACGGCTTCAGTAGCATGTGGGACAGGAGCTGTGCTCATGCTGTGCCACAGTTGGAAGCCTGGGGCTTTGGCAGAGGGAAAGCTTTCCCTGTGCTGTGCTGGGTGGCAGGGAGAAGTGGTGGAGGCAGAGAAGTCCTATTGCTCACCTGTCTCAGGCCCAATTTTGGGCATCCTGGCCCCCTGCTGGAAAACACTGATGACCCCTGCTTAAGGATGTTCGGATCCATGGCTTTGATTTGTGCTCCTCTCTGCCTGATTGGTATAATTTTTTTGTGGCTCTCTAACTGTTGCTTACTCAACCCAAGCCTGATATATACAGTAGATCTTTTTTTCTGTAAGGGATACAATGGGCATTCCAATTTGACAGGTGTAGCTTTATGAAGTTGAGCCAGTTAGGTGGGTTGTCTACAGCATACCATCTGGAATGTGGATTGTGTCAACTGCATCTTACTGTGTATAAATAAGGCATGTAAATGTGTTTCCTGAGTCTCTTGAGGAAGAGTCATTACAGTGCAAATAACATCTACAGCCAGAAGAGCTTTGGCGAGAAGTGTAATTTTAATCAAGTATACAAAGCAGTTTATTAAAAACAGTTGAAGCTCTTAAGGCTTTCAGTCACAGAAGTCAGGAAACAATGGGTAAAACCAGGTAAGTACTATCGTTACATATACGTACAATCCACCTACCTCATCATTTCTAGCATCTGACTCCAGAATTGAAACCCAGGCAACCTTAATTGTGCCCCTTGTTGTATGACAAGGTTCCTGAAAAGTGATTATGCATTTCCCAGTTTGTGCACTTTTATTTTTCCTTTCAAGTGTCAGCCTTCTCTAAGGGTTTTTGTTTGTTTGTTATTGTATTCTTAGATTTGTGAACACTGTTCTGTCCCTATCGGTAAGGATAGCTGATGTGCTCTTATTTGCTAGGCAAGGGAAAGGTGCAGTGTATTTTTGAGATTTGAATTGCACAAAAGAACAGAGGGCAGAGTTAAGGTTATGCTGGTGTCAGTTTCATTTCTTTTGATACACATGCACTCCCATTTGTGTTCATCTAAAATCCTCTAATATATATTAACACACTGAAAAGTTCTCTGCTTATTTGAAGCCCTATTTTCTTATTTACTGCACCCTACTTGCATAAATCAGATTTGGCTGTATGGTTATGTAGGGCTCCTCAGACCTGGTCGTAGAGAACTGAGGTCTATTTTTCTCTCAACTTAGCTGGCAAGCCATAGCAAAGTTAAATACTCAGGGCAGATTAATAATATGACCCTCTGAGCTACAGTGGAACAAACTTGGCTTTGTTGTTTGTGAAAATACAGGCAAGTCATTTTGAACATAATTATTTAAACAACTTACCTCCTGACTCTTCCTTCTGCCAGTCATTTGTCCCTGCAAATACTTAATGACGGTTGTCCTATGACTAGAGTATTAATTATAGCTACAACTTTTCTGTCACAATATTCATTTACCTAAGTTTCTTAATAAAGTTGACCATTGTACATAATACATGTTTTGGCTCATGCCACTTATGTGCCTCTCAGCTGTGTAGCTTTGCTCAGCCCTGCCTGAATTTTAAAAGATTCTAATCAGTACTAGGACCTGGAAAACGTTCTGTACCTACAAACCTGCTTTGGAGCTTGGTACGGCCATTCCAAATGTTGACAAATCATAACTTGGGATCTCCAAAGTATGTGATTGATTTAAAAATAACAAGGTGTTTTTTCCAAAGGTAGCTATTGGACTCCTTAGATTTGGCTTCTGGGGTTCAAGGATTTAAGACCCCGTGGGTGCATCTACATGAGACATTGATTGCGCAGTAGCTGAAAAATACTGTGCAGTAACATGTCACTGCACAGACAGTGCTAATACGCTACTCTTCAGTATTATTAGGCTACTGTGCAGTTGTGTCATCTAAAATATGTTTTCCAGTGCTACTGCACAGTAACTTCAGTTACTGTGCATTTATTTAGTACTTGCTAATATACTACTTGCTAATACGCTACTGCTCAGTAGTGTTTTGTGTAGATACACCCCATGTTTTCAAGACTTTTTTGCAGCTACCGGACTGAAAACCCACTTCACTTTAAAGGAAAACTGAGATTCTTATGTGATTAATTGGCTTCTGGGGTTTCAAGAAGACAGTGACAACTCATGATAAGCCCGCCACTTAGCAACGTTGATTGTCTTAAAATCAGTGCACGTTGTGATTGCTGTTCTAAGCAGGTGTTGGGCTTCCAGGATCTTGTACAGGTTGTATTTATCAAGATAAGTTATTAACACTAGGGCTTAAACTCCTCTCTCCCATCTAGAGAGCAGAGGCTGAGGTTTCCAGAGATATTCCTGCATAATCTTAGATGGAAGATTGACCTTTTGTTCTTCCCCAGAATACAACGGCATCACAGAAAATGCATAATAGGATAAAATAAGAGTATTCTGCTGACTGATTGGCCCCCTGCTGCTTAATTTGTAATAAAATCAGCCTGTAGCTGGCTGCTGCTCTCAGCCGCTTTTATCTGAGTGCTCCTTGTGGATCTGTCTGAGGCTGTACACATCTCAGAGCTCTGCACAAAGACCCTTCTGTTACCTTAAATCTCAGTATCCGTAGTGGACACTGAAAGACAGTATCCTAAGTGGATACAGTATACTTAGTGGACTCTCCCTAGCTCAGCCTTTCTACCAGTCAAATAAGGCAGGCATTTCAGTTGCACAGGAACCTGATAGGATCAAGTATTTCAGTAACAGAGCTGGTCGAACACCAGATTAAATTAAAATAAATGGAACCAAATGGGGGGCTGAGGTCAGAGTCCTGTTTCATTTCCTATTCCCCAGCTCCATAGCTGCTGTTTTTGGAATTTATGCAGCTTGTGATGCTACTCCATAAGCTGTGTGGGCCTGCAGCTGTCCGTGTGGTCACTGAGAGCGCTTGTTCATGTGGTGGGGATTTAGTTTTTAATTCATAGATTCATAGATTCATAGATTCATAGATTAAGGGTCGGAAGGGACCTAGTAGATCTTCTAGCCCGACCCCCCGCCAGGGCGGGAGAACAACAAAAAACCCCAAAAAGAGAAATGGGACTCAAACGAGTCCAGCCAGGTAGGCATCCAGCCTCTTCTTAAAGACCCCCAGGGTAGGGGCCAGCACCACTTCCCTTGGAAGTTGGTTCCAGCTCCTAG